AGATTTTAGAAGAAACTAAAAAAATGGGAGACAAAATATAGCAAGGAATTTGTATAAAAATAATTTTTTTGTTTTTTGAAATGCGTGAATCCAATCGAATGATAAAAATCGTGTAACATTTGCTACGAAATACAAATAAATGAAACAATAGTTATAAAATCTATTTAATTTAATATTTGCTATTATATATAATTTTCTTGAAATTCTATTGAAATGAATATTTGATAGGTCCATTCTAAATATACCCAGTATATTTATTTATACATAAGTGGGAAGTATGTTGTTAACTTTTTTTCTATTGTTTTTAGAACAATCAGTTTGGGTGTAACTAGATTGTTGTTTTATACTAATATTTTACACTTGATGATTAATAAAATTGTTAGTTATAAAAAAAAAAGATTGATTTAAGATGGAAAAAATCACAAGTATCCTCCCTAGACTATGATCAAAATCTCAGAAACACACCGTAATCAAATTAAGGTCTTATTACCTTCCAAATTTATTTATTTTTAGTATTTTTATACACCTTTTGTCTTATGTGGTACATTCCGTGACTCCACACAATTGAGACGCGTGAAAGATATTTGAATGTCACGTAAATCAAAAATTTCACATCTCGAAACCACACCCTAGAAGATATGGGCAATCTCGGATTGCAACCGGCGTACTTGACCTCTCGAAGGTCTTGTACAAGCCCTTACATATCATTCGTCGCATATGCATAATGAAAAGTAGTGCGAAATTAAAAATTTTCACAAAACATATCATAGTCTTTAAAAATCTCTTTTATATAAAGTCATAGGAAATACTAAGTCTCAATCTCATCAAACTCATCACACGAGGATACTTGGGACACGACCCATATACAATACTAATATAGAAATACTTAGTCAATTACAATACTTCTAATAAAAAACATAAAAGACATATATGCCCTCGAGTCAAATGATGACATACTTCAACTTCTCTTGAACGATGCTACGGTCCAAGTCTTCCTTCCCAAATACTCCTCACCTACCAACAACTATAGAAATAGATAAAAGCATGAAGTTAGTACAACCACATGTACTAAGTATGGCGTAATGCATGAAAATTGTGAAAATGGACATTTATTCGAAATATGCATCTTTTCATTTAAATATCATATTATAATCATAAGAACAACATTTAACAACTTAGAAACACATAAGATAACATTTAAACAAAATACGATAATTTTAAGATCACTTTACAGTGAACCCCATTTCACTTGTTACAGTGAAGTCACTTCACGGTACAGTGAAGTTACTTATCTTCACCTTAGACATCTTCTAGTATGTAATCATCCCACTTAAAGTTATCCCAAGACTCACTTAAGCAACACAAAAAGAGACCGCCCATACAATCTCCCTAAGCATGCCTAAATGATACTCAAGGCTACTTATAATGAGTCACATACACACTTCAAGACATCAAACACATCAACCACATAGATAATATGGCATTTCCTTATCAAAGGCTATCAAAAGAATTACTTAAGTAGATCAAGAAGATAATGTTCATGATTGACCTCTTCAAGACTACCTAAATAATCCTTAAGACTTCTTAAGTTTGGATCATGTCCACATAATCAACATCTTTCCTGACTAGAGTCATTCTTAAAACTCATCTAGGTAAGATACGAAGTGATAATCCCTATGCCCCTTTTACACCTTAACTAGACAACCCTTAACTACTCTAGATAAGTACTTATTTCATTTACATACTTCATAACATAAGCCATTAGTTCATTGAGACTCATACATCATATAAGGGACATTCAAGTAGTGGTCTTGGACAAGGCCTAGGAACTCACAATAACACCTTCAAAGCCTATTGTGCAATGTCTAGATAGCATCTCATACCACCACCTAAACTTCATAGAACTTCTTAAATGCTAATAGGTATTCCATATGATGAGAATAGGCAATAACCGACATAGACCATGATAGCTAGACATGAAATCCGGAGCTCTAACCTACTCCGATGAGGGTATTCTACTTGCCAAGGGTAGAACTAGGACACATCCCATGTAGGCACATGGTTAAGGAATATGAAGGGCTTTTATGCACTCTAATCTCATTCTCAAGTAAAGGTACATTGTACTCTAGTCTCATTCTCAAGTAGAGTCACTTCCCTTAACATAATCACTCGGTGCTAGCCTTGGTTCTCATAGAGTAATTGACATTAAAGGATCACATGAAGAGGTTCCTTATCTAGTTCATAACCCAATCATATTCGCCCTACCAAAGAGGTCCACTAGGGCTACATTTCAATGGCAACTAAGATAGCTCACAAAGACTTTCCTAAGGATTAATATGATACCATCCTAACCAATTAACCTTAAGTCCATCATTCCTTTACATGAAGGATACCATTACGACTCTTGACTTCAACATTCATAACCTTACCGCTAGGTTTAAGGTTCCACATACATACCTTTTTAACATCCTCTATGGTCTCACATATCTTTCAATACATGACAAGAGTGCACTAAGCCTGCCTAGTCAAGACATATCATAATCTCATAACATCCATACATACATCAAGTAAGGGATACAAGTCTACCAAACAAGAAACAACATTCTTTACCTTATCACATATAACATATCATTCTTCAAAGTACTCAGGATAACCATTATCATCTTTATGTCACCCTATACATTACTATAACATCATCAATATAACCATTATAAACTCATATAGTCAAGTAGGAACAATCAAGCATCAACTCTAAGACTACACATATAAGCACATAGTCATAGTCTAACATGATTTCCTAAATATACATCAAACATTCACATTACTAGCATGTAGATAGATATGATCATACATCACATAATCAACTACACAATTCATCACAATACTTAAAATAGTTTGTCACAAGGCCATGATCATCATAATGCATAAAGTAACGCCGACAAAGCCACATCAATTGCAAGTAAATCACATAAAATCGCCACCATAAGTGGACCATACCAATCACAATATAATTGAAGTCTAATTAACATCAAAATAAAGGAAATGGGGAAGCTTAGCACCACAACATCCTCAACATCTCATTTCGATGTTAAATCATCCAATTCAATACCATAAGGCCCTTACCAATGACCATGAACAATAATTAATATATATACTATGATATTCAATGAAACTAGGTCAATTCAATAAAGATTCATCAATATAATACAATCTAGATATCAATTTAACACAATTTTTACATCATTAGATAACCCATAGAAATCTACACTAGAATTCATAATGATTAAGTCAATATCAAGTAACCCATAACATAGTCAAAATCTAGGGTTCATAGGTAATTTAGGTTAAAATCATTAATACAACATCAATTAAATCATTATTCAATGTTTATAAATCATTAATGCAAGAACCCATGGAAGAATCATGAAATTGGACAATTCAACTTGAAAACATTAGAAAACTTCTTGAAAGTTGGACTTCAATGGAGTCTTAAGGAATTTCTAAGGGATTTTGGGGTTTTGATTTGGAAGCATGAAATATTCTAAGTGTTAAAGACTTTTATACACACTTAAAATATCCAAAAGATCCTTAAGGAACCGCCAATACTCTTATTTGGAAGTGTGGTGAAATTACAAGTTCACCCTTCAACTTATAGTGAACTGCACACTGAGACGCAGTCCACCAACGGTTGGCAGTCGACGAACCGTTTGTCCGCAAACAGACCGTCCTTTCATTCCGTCGATTGGTTCAGAGACTCAACATTGGTCTCCTCCCTCCCAAGACTAAGTCCCAATCGAGAGACCCTACCAACGGGGCGTCGATTGACCCATTGGGTGTCGACTGCCTCCGTGGTTTGGGCTGCCTTAGGCAGCCTTTGCACCTAGTTTGGGTCCTTCCTCAAGGACCCTTGGTTGGTCCTTGGGGATGTATTCCCGGACGTTTCCAACCCAAACATGATCGTATACGAGTTTAGCACCTTTCACATGAATTTCATCCAACACGAACACGTAAAACTCAACAAAACATGCTTAGACACGCAAGGTCATTTCAAGGCATATCTTTTGAACATCATGGACGTTCTTGGACGTTTGACCTCCAATGCACCTAAACTCTTAGACACTGCCTCAATAACACATAGTAGACCTATTTAGAACCTTAAACCACCAAGACCAACATGTTAGGCTCTAGTTCACATAAGTCATTTTCGGGGTCTTACAAAAAAGTGCACTAAATTACAAAATAAATAAGTTCAGGAGGGAAATAGGACTTCAGAATAATTAAGTAGTGCCTCTGAGATTTCGATCATACTCTAAGAGGTACTTGTGCATTTTCCCTTTTAAGATAAAAAATAACTATGACAAATTGACAATGGTGTATAATCTTGACCCACAATTCTTCATAGATTTATTACTTTTAGTATATTCTTGAGAATTACTTCTAAAATTTATAACAAAAAGTTTACCTCAACAATAGTTATACTTCATATATATTGTTGAAACTCAAATTGTGTATATAATAATAAAGTGATACTTTTTAAAAGTCAGAGTGAGTTATTTTGCACTTTAGCCTATTAATTTATTAGTGTCAAATACCATAACTTGGTGTGATTAAGACATTAAGGGGCCGTTTGGTTACGATATGACTTACCTTTTATTTATGTATAAAATAATGTATTAAGTTATACTTTGTTTGGTAGAAATTTTTGTTTAGATAGAAAAGTCAATATAATTCATACTATGTTTGGTTGCATGTTATATATAATTAATACCAACATAACTTATGAGGGAATCTATATATAAAGTTATGCAGGGTAGTTTATGGAATAAGTTATGTGAATATTAATTATATACATGTATTAAATTAATCCTGCATAACTAATATTGCATAACTAAATCCTGCATATTTAAATTCTACGTAATTAATACATGCATAACTTTAACGAGCAACCAAACATTTCACGATGTGTATAATATCCTTGTAAAAATGGATTAGCAAAAAGAAAGGAAAAAACCAAAATAAAATAGCCCGTGGGCCGGCCTTAGTTCAGTCGCCGTTCCCCGCTGTTCATATTAGCTTCCGTTAAGCGGCAAAAAAAATAGGCGTTTTTCAGAAACAAACCGATGATAAGCAAGGTGGTTTAGATTTTAGAATTTGGATAGCTCTCTTTTCTCTGGCCGGAATTTGTTAGATAATACCATATCTGTATATTCAGTTTTTTTTTAGGGTTCAGTAAACTAGGGTTTGAACTTTTGAATCAAACGGATATGTCGAAGAGAAAATTTGGATTCGAAGGATTTGGCATTAATCGGCAAACAACGTACAACTTCGAGCGAAATCAAGCTCCTCAGCGACTGTATGTTCCGCCATCCTCACGTTCTGGAGGTAGCCATGACAATTACGAAGATACCGACTTAGATAACATTGAGTACGATGAACACGACGCTGTCGGAGGGAACAACAATGATGGAGGCGGAGGAGGTGGTGAAGATGATGAAATTGATCCACTTGATGCGTTTATGGAAGGGATTCATCAAGAAATGAAGGCTGCACCGCCTCCTAAGCCAAAAGAGAAGTTGGATAAGTATAAAGATGATGTAGATGATGATCCGATGGAGAGTTTTCTGAGAGCGAAGAAGGATGTAGGTTTACAATTGGCGGCTGATGCTCTTCACGCTGGTTATAATTCCGACGAGGAGGTGTATGCAGCAGCAAAGGCTGTTGATGCAGGATTAGTTGAGTATGACTCCGACGATAATCCTATTGTTGTTGATAAAAAGAAGATTGAGCCGATTACTGCTCTGGATCATAGTGAGATTGACTATGAGCCTTTCAACAAGGATTTTTACGAGGAAAAGCCTTCTATTTCAGGTACATTGTGTTCTGCTCGATGATTTCTCCTCTTGATCTAGTTTACTCCTGGTCTGCAGTTTAACTTCGTTCTTTGTTGATTAGAATGACATAATGCGCACTGAAAAAAACAAATTTCAGATAAGAACAAGAGTTGAAAAACTAGAGACCTATTCATGATTCTAAGTTAGTGGGTGCAGGGCATTGGCAGGTTCATGATTTCCAGTATAAACGTGTGAATAAGCTAGCAAAACACAATTCCATGGGAGGCAGTAGTATATAGTTTATAGGTGGATAAAGTTTGATTAGTGGAATTAGAAGTCCCTAATTCCACTGTTCTTTTTTTTTTTTTTTTGAGAAAAGCTATTCCACTATTCCAGTACTTCCTTTTTTAGAAAATAATTATAGTGAAACGACGATGTTTTGGGCAATGGGCTCATGACTGTTTTGGTATTAAATGGGAACAAATAACATAAGCTAAATGTAAAATAAATAACTTAGTTGGTCAGATTCGAACCCACACAAGGGTACATTTGGAACGCCCTTACCTATGTTCTACGTTTTGTTTCTTGTTCAGGGTGTTCAAAATTAATATATGTACGTAAATGCAGTATATCTACCCTAAATACTGTGTAAGTTTTTGTTATGAACCCTCTCCCGCCTCCTAGATCCGTCCATGGGGCAGAGCACTGTCCACCTCCTGCTACTTTTAGCAGCACTGGCTAACTCAGGATAAATTCAAATTTTCTGGCTTAATTATATGTGTAGTTCAAGCAGAGGACAATGTGCGGCTGCACCAGTACCTGCATATTGCATCCGCTTATGGGAAGAGTAGAGCCTGCCTCATGATCTGTCAGTCCTGGTGGTTTTTAGAGCTTGTTATAAATAATGGCTTCTAATACATCATGTGAAGATTAATTGTTATAAAAACCGGGAAAGGGTTAATATCAAAAATAGTTTAAATCTACTATTCATTATACTTTTGGCGAAATATATATATATATATATTTTTTTAAAATTGTCTATATATATCCTTTATGTTATACTTTTGGTCTTAATTTACCCCTCTTATTATTCTGTCACTAATTTGCCTTTAATTTTGACGGAGCGACACGTGACAAGCTCATAATCAAATGACCAATGTAATCTCCAATTTAAAATACCCGATTTCTTTAGAAACTCACATGTTTAACCCATTCCTGACCCATGAAATTTCGGAAAGTGTGGTTACTCTCATATTTGATTTCACGTCTCTTGTGTCTCAACTCATCGCTGCCTCAGAAGCTGTGCATATAATTGAAATTTACCAATTCGTATTCATAATGAGATCTGTATTCAGATATGAACTCTTTCAATTTTGGAAAAGATAATGCTTATATATGTTTAGAAATCCATAGGAATCACGTATTAATTTGCTCGGTATGTGGACATGATTGTTTTTAGTAATAAAATAAGCTTACATTGAGAAGGCTTTTATAGTTATTAGAAAATAATTGAGAATTGATTATTGTAGTCAGGGAAAATATAGTCGAACTAAAGAAGTAAATTACTCCCTCTGGTCCATGTACATGTCGTCCCTACTAAAAATAGATGTTCATTGATATTTGTCATTTCACAAAACCAATGCATAAATGACATTGTTCTTCCTATTTTACCCTCAAGAGTTATTAGCCTCAAAAGTATGCATTTGACCAATATAGGCAAACTAAGTAACTAATTCATGTTCATTGGTAATTAATTGAAATTAATTGAAATAAATTAATTCATATTGATTCATTGAGAACTCGACTTCAAGAGAACACTCAATAAGGGTACAATTTACCTAGTTTGTTAAGGGGCGTGAAACCTAAAATGCTGACAACCAAATAAGAAAGGAGGGAGTATAACAATAGGTTGCTCATGAGCACTGAAATTGTAATTAAATGGTATTACTTTTATCATTTATTGATTTTCGTGATCAAAAGTACGATAGGCTTATGTAATTAATTGAAATAAATTAATTCGTGTTGATTCATTGGAAACTTGACTTCAAGAGAGCACTCAATAATTGTACAATTTACCTAGTTTGTTAAGGGGCGTGAAACCTAAAATTCTGACAACCAAATAAGAAAGGAGGGAGTATAACAATAGGTTGCTCATGAGCACTGAAATTGTAATTTAATGGTATTACTTTTATTGTTTACTGATTTTCGTGATCAAAAATACCATAGGCTTATGCTTGCTTGTAGTCGAAGTTTCTAGAGAACGCAATGCTAATTCAAAATATTCACGGTGATTGAGAAGAGAGAATCAGAAGAAGATGAAAAGAAACATCTCAAAAGGGAGGGAATGGGTTAAACAGATGTGTTTTGAATGTAATCAAATGTTTAAAATTGGGAATTACATCGGCCATTTATTTTTGAGCTTGCCACCTGTCCTTTTGTAAAAATAAGGGCAAATTTGTGCGAAAGTATAACGGGAGGGGTATATTTAGGCCAAAAGTATAACACGAGGTATATTTTTAGGCCTAAAGTATAACGAAGGGTATATTTAACCCTTTTCTGTTATAAAAATTGTATTGTGGGTGGGTTTTAGTTTTTTGGTAGTAAATGTTGACACTTCACGAATATATGCTGTTTTTTGTTTCTTTTGGATTGAGATACAATTTTTGGTTCTTATGGGGTATGCGGTTGTACTTATCCCTAACGTTTCCCTGGTGCTTTGGTCCTTGGTTTGAACTTAAAAATGATGAATCCATTTTAGAAATGTTGGGTTGGGGACTGTTGTAAATTTTATTTAAACATTGTTTCTATTGATCATTGATGTGCAAAAAGTTACAATTTCAGTTTATTCTAATTTATGACTTTTGGCTTATTTTTAGCATTTAGCTTAAAGCTAAGTGCTTATAAGCACTTATTTAACTTACCCAAACACTCCAAAAGTGCTTACAAGAAATTTCAGCTGAAAAGCACTTGAAATAGGCCAATCCAAACGTGCTCTTAGTTTTTTTATTCCTAAAAGATGGATAATTCCATGAGACCCTTCACTTGTGGATGCAGATTAGAGAGGGAGTTGAACACCTGGCTTTCATTATGACCATGGCTCAGGGATGCCAGCTTACCAGTAGGTTTATTAGCTTCTCTAAAGCAGTGGTTGATATTGAAACCACAAGCTTCAACTAAATTCTGAATCTATTTGATGTAGCTGTCAGTATAACTACACTTTGAGTTGCTTTGATGTAGCTATCAATGTTCCAAGGAGATTTCCATTCGCCTTTTGCACATTTTGTGAGCAAAAGAGAGTCTGTTTCTATAATAGTCAACACTAGGTTCCTACAGTCGCACCAGTTCAAGCCATAGAGCGTAGCTGCTGCAATGGCAATATTGCTGAGACCAGGGCCTAGGGTTAATAGAGTATGCTCATAGAGTGATCCCCTGGCTATTTCTGATGAATCCACCACTTCCACATATTCCTTGGATGCAACTTCCATCACTATTGAGTTTCAATAGCTGAGGCGGTGGTCTTATCCATTTGACAATGGTGACAGTTCTTTGTTGAAGTGTGGCATCACAGACTTGACAAATACTTCTTCAGTTCTGTCCCAGATTTGCTTTTCCAAATCTTCTCATTGTTACCTGCAAAATAGTGTACACAATATTAATGATTGTTCTTATATGGAAGGTTTCATGGCCTCAAATTTATTACTGCATCTGGTCCTCCATAGTTCCCAACATTTGTATGGAGTCTGTTGTTATTTGGTTCTACTTGTATGGAGTTGGAGCTGAGCCCCAGTTCAGTGTTATTTTATTGGTTCTCCTTGTATTCATGTGTATTTTGAATGTAGGGTTGTTTAGTGCAGTCAATAAGGAGTCCAGCTCTTCATGGTGATTGCAGTGCTACATTATCGTTTTGCTAGTTGCTTCTTTGGATTGCGCATTATCTGTAATCAGTATCTTCCTTCATCCAGGTTAATGCTTTTGCTTTATGCAGGTATGAGCGATCAGGAAGTTAATGAATATAGGACAGGCTTGGCCATTCGTGTATCAGGCTTTGATGTACCAAGGCCAATTAAGACATTTGAAGACACTGGTTTTTCTGCTGAGTTGATGAAAGCTATCAGTAAACAGGGATATGAAAGGCCTACGCCAATACAGTGTCAAGCATTACCAATTGTGCTCTCTGGGAGAGATATTATTGGTATTGCTAAAACTGGGTCCGGTAAGACTGCTGCCTTTGTGCTTCCTATGATTGTCCACATCATGGATCAGCCTGAACTTCAGAAAGAAGAAGGCCCCATTGGAGTTATTTGTGCACCCACTAGGGAATTAGCACATCAAATATTTGTGGAGGCAAAGAAATTCTCGAAATCGCATGGTATCCGTGTGTCTGCAGTTTATGGAGGAATGTCTAAATTGGATCAATACAAAGAACTAAAGGCTGGGTGTGAGATTGTTGTTGCTACTCCAGGGAGGTTGATAGATATGATCAGAAAGAAGGCATTTACAATGTTGAGAGCAACTTATCTAGTGCTTGATGAGGCAGATCGGATGTTTGACCTTGGTTTTGAGCCTCAAATAAGGTCCATTGTTGGTCAAATTAGACCTGATCGCCAAACATTGCTCTTTTCAGCAACTATGCCCCGCAAAGTTGAGAAGCTTGCCAGAGAAATATTGACGGATCCTGTAAGGGTTACTGTGGGTGAGATTGGCACGGCTAATGAGGATATTACACAAATAGTTGAAGTGATTCCTTCGGATGCTGAAAAATTGCCTTGGCTTCTGGAGAAGCTCCCTGGACTGATTGACAATGGTGATGTTCTTGTCTTTGCTTCGAAAAAGGCAACAGTGGATGAGATTGAATCTCAATTGGCTCAGAAGGGATTTAGAGTTGCAGCTCTCCATGGTGACAAGGATCAAGTTTCTCGTACGGAGACGCTGCAAAAATTTAAATCTGGCATATATCATGTTCTCATTGCAACTGATGTTGCTGCTCGTGGTCTTGACATCAAATCACTTAAGTCAGTGGTGAACTATGATATAGCTAAAGATATGGACATGCATGTTCACAGAATTGGTAGAACAGGTCGTGCTGGTGACAAGGATGGAACGGCCTTCACTCTTATTACTCATAAGGAAGCACGTTTTGCTGGTGAACTGGCGAACAGTTTGGTTGCTGCTGGTCAAACTGTGTCTGTGGAACTAATGGACCTTGCTATGAAGGTACTTCTATATTTTTTATTTCAAATGCTTGAAGCTTAGGATTAAGGATTCTATTTTCTTGTTTTATCCTCTTAAATTTCACCAAGTGCAAAAAAAGAAAAAAAAGTTCTTCAAGTGCATTACATTTACATGATATTCACCACTTCCATTCATTGCCGCTGCTCAATATTGTGTACCCCCCCACACACACACAAAATTGAAGTAAAACATGAACCAAGAAAAAAGGGAAACATTTTCCCTTTTGAAGTCAAAATCTATAATGACATACTTTCCGGAGATATTCTTTACTAGAAAGCTACAATGATAGATCAGAGAATGCTTATTTGGTCTTTTGGTTTCTCAAACGATATACGAGTCCAAGGATGCAATGTTGTGGGCTGCTAGGATTCAATTATCGCATGATCATGGGTTGCTAGTATTCATGTTGGAGTGTACAATTGAAGGATGGATCAGAGATGCTTTAACATGATTTGCCTTTCTTGTCTAGCAAGCTTTATTGTAGACATCTTAAAAAACCTTGCAGGAGTAGCTTGCGATGCCAAGCTAATATATGAAATATTAACTATTTTATTATGGATGTGAATTGGAAAATAGGAGTATGTAAACCTCGGTAGAAATGTTATTAGACTGTGTAGTATCGCGTAGCACCTGGTAAGGTATGATATATAGATATATTGAGAACTATCTAGATGTGGCCTATTGGTCAATGGAGTAGTTTGGGAACCATGAGGTCTCAAGTTCAAGTCTTAGCAGAGGCAAAGGCGCTACTCCTTCCGTCCCCATTTAAGTGGCACCATTTGACTTGCACAAAGTTAAAGAAAGAAAAAAAGACTTTTGAAATGTTTAGTCTAAAATAAACCTTAGACATTTGCATGGCTATGAATCATTTCATTAAGGCTAAAAGGAAAATTTTAAAGTTGATTCTTTCTAATTATAGATATGTGACATTCTATTTCGGACGGATTAAAAAGGATACTCTGTCACATAAATTGGGCAGTGGGAGTATTTTATTTTCCACTATTGCCGCATAGATTCTAATAGATCATAGGTCTCTGAGATAAATTTTCATGTGATATTAGGTCTGCATCACACTTTTAACTCCTTTACTCAACCTCTTATTTATCCTCTGTGTGTGTTGCACCTTTTGACGAATGTGGCCATTTCTAATTTTATCTAATCATGTATTATATTTGTCTTTTTTAAAATAACATTCTTGCAACATTTATCTTTTGAATTTTAGATATGTAATATTTACTCCCATACAATGGTGCTAGTCTTACAACTGTTGTATGAAACTTCCCTCATTTAGTAGGTATCCTTCCGTCACATAACAGATCGGCAACACTTAACCAATTCAATTATACCTTTTTGATTCTTTGTGAACCCTCATTTATTATACTATTCTCTGGGTTATCAAATCTATCTATCTAAATTAAAAAAAAAGACAAGTTCAATTCTGTCAGAACTTCACTCTCCAACTTCAATGTTCATATGCTAACTAAATTTGCAGTATATTTAGTCTCTTATCCTTACGCTCTTACTATCTGGTGTGCTTCCCCACATTCCAAACCTTTGGTTGACACCCTTGTTAATTTTGTCGATTAGCATAATATCGTCTGTAAATGGCTTACGGAGGTGGACCTCATCCAATACAATGTCAGTTAGCTCGTCCATAACATATTGGGTACATAACTACAGGTTCAATGCCGTTCCCTGGTGTTAGGTGTAAACCATGGTTGTGGAAATATTCTTTGTATTTCCTACTTCTGTTCCCTCTTTGGATGATAAGGTCTTGCAGAAACTGTTGTGGTGTCTTCTTTCTTTTAGATTGTTGCTCCACTTTTGGTCTTCTGGAGATATCTTTTCTGTTTGATGATTGGTGAATTTCCTTTTCTTGATTAAGCACCTTCGGAGCACAGCATTACTTTAGACATTTATTATCATTTTTTGCTCCTTGTTTTGTGCTTTTTATTTGGGTTGTTGCTTAAAATACTCAGATCTTGTTCTGTTGCATGATTAAATTTACTGTGTGTAAACTCTTAGGACGGAAGGTTTCGGTCCAAAAGGGATGCAAGGAAAGGAGGTAATGATTTATTCTTATTGTTGTATCTTATTGAAGATTTTCCCCGAAATAGTACATTGATGGGCACTGATGGTTCCATATAGTAACTCTTGGGGATTTTGTTCTATTGATCCACCCTCCTTTTAATAACTGTAAATCTTGGGGAGAAGGGAAGTGGATTTCTTTAGATTCTTGATTGTCTAACCAAACTATAAATGAGAATTTTATGCCTTTTTTCAGGTGGAAAAAGGGCCAAAGGAAGGGGAGGAGGAAACAACAAAGGTGTACGAGGTGTGGATTTTGGTCTAGGGATTGGATACAATCCTGAATCAAATAACCCTCTCCAGAGCGCTGCTCCAAGCCGTTCTGCAGCTGTTAATTCCCTGAGGACAGGCATGATGTCACAATTTAAAAGTAGCTTTGTTGCTGCATCATCAAATTCTCAAAATCAAGGGATGAATAACACAGCTGGCGCGTTTCCCAACAAGAAAATGGTCTTGCAAGGCTTTGTCTCTGGTGGGACTATAGGTGGAAATAGTAATACTCCCCATATTAGTTCCACATTTACTGCTGCAACACCTGGGGGATATACTTCTAGTCAGCCAGCTAGAGATGGAGCTAACCAGAAAAGTTCAGAGAGGTGACTATATCACCTTATCTACATCTGTTTTCTCAATTAAGTGTAATGTAAAAAGAAGGTACTTGAACATTAAATTAATTAGAGTCATTTTTTCACCCTTGCAGTTCAAAGGAGAGGTCCAGAGAGAGACGGAGGCCTTCTGGTTGGGATCGTTGATTTGTTATTTAGGTATACTGGGATAATCAACTTGTTGGAAAATGTACTTTTCCTTTCAAATTAACCTTGTTCTTTTTTCTTTTCGGTCAATTTTTTTCTTGGTCTTCCATATAGTATCAAGTTATTTCGCTTAGATTTGTTGTTTCTGTCTGGTTGGTTTTGATTTCTCTCCTATGATTTTGGTGATATGCAGTACTGTGGGATATGCATGGTTTACGTGTCACTCCTCATCATGGTCTAAGTTGGTGACTTTTCTTTCAAACTCACCATTTGCATCAAGGAAATGAAAGGAAGATAAATTGTTATATCACATAACAAGTAGCGAGTATGCAGAGTCCAATCAGACTGGTGTCCATTGCAGAGATAGCTTGGGAGGAAGTTATGGTGCTTCTGAAATGGTTCATGTAAAATGATCTTTATTGTCCAAAAGTGTATGTATTTGGTTCTCTTGATACATCAAAATTGTTCCTGCAACTTTAATACGTTTCTGGTCTTGGGAAAATTTTAACATTTTGGCTAATAGGGAAGAGACTCAAGTGTAAATTATTCACTTCGGCTGCTGTTTCAATTGCACTGCTAACTTTTGCTACTTGTGGATTATGATGTAAGGACTTCTAAAGACCGTCAAGTCCTCCCAAAACTCGATTTTTCGAAGATGAGTTACGACATGGGGCCGTGGGTTTCGGAAGAGCCAAGCAACATAGCTTAGGGATGAACTCAATTTTAATCTGGTCCTGAAATTTTCTGCTTCAAAATTATATCTTCTCATTGATACTTATAAGAGGGATATGGTAAAGCCATATGCTATCTCAAGTGTTCTTATGGCTGTCAAACTGTAGGTTATATCATATATGATTGCATCCACAATTTAAGAATGAACCAAGATTTTTGAGATTTATGATTAATCTAAATTATATATATTTTGGTGATTATAAATTATTTTGGTAATTTATATTCGTTCCATTCACTTTTATTTGTCATATTTTAAAAATATTTTATCCTCAAAATCAGTTCATTTAATTATTAGTATTTTGTAAGAGATCTGTAAAATTCAAAGTGAACAAGTTAAAATTGATAAAGTGAGTATTTGTTCTTAATTTTTGGTGTATTTTGAAGTAGCAGCACCAAGTAATAATCATCCAAATCAAATTTAATATGCATTGTAGTTTTCAAAAATTATTCCAAAACAACTATCATTTCAAAATTGACAATATTTTTTTTAATTGTATCCTTCACATCATATAATAAATTACTTTTAGTAATATTCAATTCTCAAAAAATAAAAATTACTTAAAGAAACTATACTTTATATAGTAATATATTTTGAGATAAATATCAAAAACACACTTAAGTTATATCTTTTTTTTTTGAGTTTCATATCTAAACTATTGAAAGTTTGAGTTTCATACCTAAATTATTACTTTTTAGTTTAAGAAACACACATCTCTCTCTTTTATACCACTGGTATGTGCAATACACACACACTCTCTCTCTTTTATTTTAAAAATTTTTCACATCACACTCCACATATGACAAAATATTCAACCTTGACAATAAATAAATAAATTATTAGTATTAGTTAAAATTAAAAATTTAAAAACTATTATAAAAATAATGTTTTCTTTACAAAATAAAATATAAAATATTTTTCTTACTCCACACCATTTTTTAAGTTTTTTATTTTATTTAAATTTCTTTTATAAAAGTATTTCATTTTTTACTTCATGTCCTCCCCCTCATCAAATACTAATTTAGATATTATTTTATTTTCTTAAAAATATAATTCTACCCATCCCACTTAACCCTAGGCTTTCAATTTGTTTTCTCAATGTTTGATATACATATGTGATAATGAATAAGTACCCCTCAACCTATGCCCGAAATCTCAGAGACACACTTATACTATACTAAGATCCTATTAGCCCCCTGAACTTATTTTATTAATAACTTTCTATCCCTTTTCGGCTACGTGGCAATATCTTGTGGGTCCAACGCTGGTTGACTTTTTTTTAAAGCTAGTGCCACGTAAGCCGAAAAGGGGTAGAAAATTACTTATAAAATAAGTTCAAGGAAGTAATAGGACCTTAGTATTGTATAAGTGTGTCTCTGGGATTTCAGGCATAGGTTGAGGGGGTACTCGTGCATTTTCCCTATACATATCGAAAATATCTTTTACTTGCCGCCAAAAGATTTTTTATATTTTTTAGTTGTTTATGTTATATTCGGTACACTAGTAGAATTTTTTTTCTAAAATATATGTACGTGTATATCTAACACAAAATAAGAAAAACATAAAAAAAAAAAAATTAGAAGGGAAAAATTAATTAGGATGGGGTAGATTTTTTTAAATAAAATAATATCAATTTCTATCCGGGGGAGGAGGGGGAGGATGGAATATGAAAATTTTAAAAATATTTTATGAATGATATTTTTTTAAAAAAAAATGGATGAGGTTGTCGCGGGGGAGGGAGGCGCGTGGAGGAGGTGGTGGAGTGAGATAAGAAAAATAATTTAATCTTTTATATTGGACAATAATCTTTAATTTTTAATTAATATTAATTTTTTATTATTTAATTTTTATCTAGATAAAATATTTTATCTATGTGGAATGTCATGTATCAAAGTTTTTTTCATATAAAAAAGAGAGTGCACTACACACACCACTGAGGTGAATTTCTCAAACTAAAAAGTGAGTTTGGTTACTGAACTCACACTTTCAATAATTTTGGTATGAAACTAAAAAAAAGTGAATAATTTAGATGTATTTTTGACACTTATCTCATATATTTTTTATATACTTGAAAGTAGACTAAGAGCCTGTTTGGCTCAGCTTAAAAGCTGGTCAAACTGACTTAAAAGCTGGTTTTTGACTTATTTAACTGTTTGGCAATACTCAAAATAGCTTATTTTAAGTTAAAAAAAATTTATTTTAAGCCAAAAGTTAAAAGCTGGGATAGTAATGCTTTTTTGTTTTAGCTTATAAGTTGTTTTAAGTTGACCATATTTTTATGTTTTTTCCCTTAATATTTTTATACAATCTCCAAATTACCCATATAACCCTAACATCTCTTTCTTCTATTTTTCCCTTTTCACGTTTGGCATAACAACTTCAGCACTTTTATCCAAACGCATAACTGCTTATTTTAAAAATAAGTTTCGGCACTTTCAAAAGTTTTTTTTCAAAGCTGCTTTTAAAAATAAAGCAGATATTTGAGTGAAATAAGAATGCTTAAACCCTGGTAAAAACCCTTGCGAATGCGAGCTGGAGGTTATACTTGGGAAAGTTATCGGGCCAAAATGATCCGGAATTTGACCCGTCAGATCTCAAACGAGACCCGACTGAACCTCAGAAGACTATGTTTCACGGCGGCGGAGCAGAGTGGAAGAGATTCGAGGCTCTACCGGAGATTGTCGGCTTTAGGAGCCACGAAAGGGTCGGTTACTGAAACAATAAATGCGTACACGAGAGAAGGCAGAGTAGTGAAGAAATATGAACTGGAAAAATGCATCAAGGAGCTTCGCAAATATAAAAGATACCAGCATGCTCTTGAGGTATAGTATAACCTCTGAAATCTCTTGATCATTTAGCTCACCAAGTTTACTTTATTAGTAATAGAATGAAATGAGCTGTTAAAATGGAATCTATATAGTTTACATTAATTTATACTGTGATTGACAGACTTGTGGAGTATAAAGACGAATTGTTTAGGATATAGATGATTCATATAGCCGATTCTAACTTATTTCGGATTGAGGTAGATGATTGATTGCTATAGTTTTGGAATTGGAACATTTAAATTTAGAATAGGCATGTTTTCAGGCTTAATCAGTTACTGTATAAGATGTAAAAGTATCAAGAAGAAACAAGTTTGTATTTAACTCTTAAGACAATATTGTTGGCCGGTATTGGAATGAATCCCCTGAATAAATTGGTATGTAAATACGTACATGAGATTTTTATAGCCGACCCCAAATAGTTTGCGATACTGATTAGGTGTTGTTGATTGTTGTTTTATGATGTGCTAGTTAAGATCTTTGGAGTTATGCTCCAGAGAGGAGATATTTTACCTGCTGCAATTGTATTGTATGTTTCTGTCAACTGTTCGCCAGGAATATGTTTATGTAGGCAGACATTGTTTCGTTAAGCCATCTAGATGGAGTATATCCACATAAAATGATTTTGAATATCATGAGTTGATATTCCTATTTATTGTTGCAGATAATGGAGTGGATGGAGAAAAGAGGTATAAACTTTTCGTATGGTGATTATGGAGTACGATTGGATCTCATAGCAAAAGTTCAAGGAATAACTGCAGCTGAAAAATACTTTGGCAGCCTCTCACCCTCCATGCAGAATCAAAGCACTTATGGAGCACTCTTGAATTGCTACTGTGTTGAAAAAATGACAGACAAGGCGTTAACCTTTTTTGAGAGAATGGATCAATTGAAGTTCACAAATAGATCATTGGCATTCAACAATCTTATGTCGTTATATATGAGACTAGGGCAACCAGAAAAAGTTGCCCCTTTGGTACAGGAAATGAAGAGCAGAAAGGTTCCGCTATGCACATTTTCATATAATGTCTGGATGAATAGCTATTCTTGTTTAGATGATATAGAAGGAGTGGAAAGGGTCTTCGAAGAGCTAAAACAGGAGAATGCAAAGGAGTGCGATTGGACCACATATAGTAACTTGGCTGTTGCCTATGTTAAGGCTGGGCATAACGAAAAAGCTGAGTTAGCTCTAAAGAAGCTTGAAGAAGAGATGGGACCTCGTAATCGTCAGGCTTACCACTATTTGATTAGTTTGCACGCCAGAATATCTAATCTAGGTGAGGTTTATCGTATTTGGGGTTCTCTAAAGAGTTCCTTGGATCTAACCAATTCTAGTTATCTTGTCATGCTTCAGTCCCTTAGTAAGCATAACGACATGGATGGTTTAAAGAAATACTACGAGGAATGGGAATCAAGCTGCTCTACTTATGATATGAGGCTGGCAAATAATGTCATTGGAGCTTATCTGAGACATGACATGTTAAACAATGCGGAGAAAGTCTTTCATTGTGCTTTGAAGAGATCACAAGGACCTTTCTTCTTGGCTTGGGAAATGTTCATGCTTTTCTATTTGAGGAAACGTCAAATCAATTTTGCTCAACAGTGCATGGAAGCAATTGCCTCTCGGATAAAGGAAAACAAATGGCGACCAAAATATGAAACCATAAGTAATTTTCTCGAGTATTTTGTTGAAGAAAAAGATGTTGATGGTGCTGAGGAGTTCTACAAATTTCTGAAGAAGGTAAACTGCCTTAGTAGTGATGTCTATAATTCATTGCTTCGCACTTACGCAGCTGCTAACAGAACAACAGACGATATGAAACTGAGAATTAAGGAAGATGGGATTGAAATGAGTTGTGAGCTTGAAGAATTGCTCGAAAGTGTTTGTCCTGAATAAGTAAAAGGACTTTTACCTAGTATATGGTTTTGTTTCTTTTCCATCTTCTTTTTGTGTAAGATATGTGCTCTCTATTTTTTAAAGAAGTAATTTAAGGATTCCAAGACCTTTTCACAGATATATAATGGTAATTCTTT